CCCACTTGGACCGCCGGCACCGCCGCTTCCGCAGCTCACCTTTCGAGTGCGTCTCCCGCGCCCTCAGCCACAGGCAGTGTGACTCCTTTCCCCTCCTCTGGTTTTGTTGGCATGGTTAGTCAGGCTGGAACCCCCGCCCCTTCTATGTATTCGGCTGCTATTAATGAGAATGTGATTCAGTACTCCGTCCCACCTCCTCCCCCACATCCTCCCTCCTCCACCACGCTGGACTTTGTCCTTGACAGTGGAGCCTCCGAGTCCGTCCTTCGTGATGCTGGTACCCTTCACCCCCTCCCAGCCCCCACCTCCCTCCTTGGTGCCGATTCCAGCTTCTTTATTCCCTGTCGCCACACCTCTACCCTCCCCTGTCCCCTCTTCCCCTCAGGTGCCGTCACTGGTTTACACATCCCCTCCCTCCGTACTAACCTCCTCTCCCACCGATCCCTTCAGCAGGCTGGTACCACCACCGTCTTCCCAAGTCGCGCTAATCACTGCCTCCTATACCATCCCACAGGTCGCCTCCTCTCCCGTATTCCCTTTTGTCCTCGCTCCCGCCTATATACCCTTCGAGTTCCTCGTCTTCCCTCTGCCCAGGCAGTCTCCCGCTCCCTCCCCCCACCTCACATCCCTCCCCCTCCTCTCCCTCCTTCTAACCCAACCATTCCCCCCCTCCCGCCTGACCCAACCTGCTCCTGTCGATCCCTCTCCCATCCCACCGTCCTCCTCCACCACAGGCTTGGTCACCCCAACTTTGCCACCCTCCGCTCGACCGTCTCCTCAGGTCTCCTTCGAGGTCTTCCCCTCACCCTCCCTCCCCTCCCTCCCTCCCTTGCCCCTCCTTGCTCCGTCTGTGTCCAGAGCAAGCTCAAGCAGCTGCCGCATCGGAGTTCCCCCTCCGCTGCTGCTCAGCCGCTTGATCTTGTTCACATGGACCTCTGGGGCCCCAACCCCTCCCCTTCCCGCCAGGGCCATCGCTACATGCTTGTTCTGGTCGATGATCACAGCCGATATTCGTCTGTCTCCCTTCTTCGCTCGAAGGGTGACGCTCCGGCTGCGATCATCGCCTGGCTCAAGCAGGCGAGCACCCACTTTGGCCGCCCTGTGCGCCGCCTTCACTCTGATGGCGGTGGCGAATTCCTTAATCGACAGGTAGCCTCCTACTGTGAGCTTCATGGCATTTGCCAGACTCACACCCTCCCCCACTCCCCCCAGCAGAATGGTGTGGCCGAGAGCCGTGTTCGGGAGATCACCAAGATTGCTCTGTGTCTCCTCGTCCATGCCTCTTGCCCCCCTTCTCTGTGGGGCTATGCCCTCCTTCACGCCACCCTCCTTACTAACCTATACCCCCACCCTATCCTTCCCTCCACCACTCCCACCGAGCTCTGGACGTCGGCCAAGCCTGACGTCTCCTCCCTCCGTGTGTGGGGCTCCAGGGCGTATGTCCTCATTCACCCTGCGGACCGCCCCCGCACCATGGGAAAGCTCGCCTCCCGTACCCTCCCCTGCATCTTCCTTGGTCATAATCCCTCCTCCCCGGACTACCTCTTCCTTCACCCCCCCTCAGGTCATTTCCTCCGCAGTCGGGATGTAGTCTTTGATGAGTCCACACCCTACTATTCCACTCCTCCCCCCACTGACCCTCTCGCCCCTGCTCCCAGGCCCCTCACGTGGTCCGACACTATCCCACCCCCTCTTCTCCCTCCCCCTCCCATCCTCCCCCCCGCTCCACCTCCTCCATTCCCCGCTGCCTCGGTCCCTAGTGCTCCCCCCTCCTCTGGTGACATATTTGACCCTGACCCTTTTTTTCCCCCCGCCTCCCCGTCCCACTCCTCCCCCTCCGCTCCCTCCCATCCTCCCCCCTCCCCTCCTCCCCCCTCTCCCCCGCGACCCCCTCCCCCCCTGCGTCCCACCCGCTCCATCCTCACCCGGTATCCCCACACCAGGTCGCGTGACGCAGTCCTAGGTGCCCCGCCTCCTGTTATCCTCTCTTCCTCTACCTTGCCTCCTCTCTCCCCTCTCATGGACCTCCTTTTACAGACAGTCTTACAACAAAACACTAGCCCAACCCTGCCATCGAGCTCCAGTACAGCAGTCCCAACAGCAGCAGCAACAGCTGCAGCAGCAGTTCCACCCACCGCAGCAGCACCAGCAGCAGCCGTCGCTCCTCCTCGCCTTCACCCGCAGCAGCAGCAGCGGCGGCAGCAGATGCAGCAGTAGCAGCCGCCTCAGCAGCAGCTGCAGCAGATGCATCCTCAGCAGCAGCAGCCGCAGCAGCTGCAGTCCTCCCATTCATTTTCCACTCCTCCCTCCTCGAGGACTCCCATGAGGAGTTCCTCAACCTCCACCTACATGATCCAGCCCTCCTACCCATCTCCCCTGACCTCAGCGGCACACCAGTCTTCGCCTTCTCCTCCGCCCCCACCATCTTCGTCCCCGCCACGTACGAGGAGGCCATGGCGTGCCCTGACGCTCACCTCTGGCTCGCGACCATCCTCAAGGAGTTGGAGGCGTTTATTGCCAACTCCTCCTTTGTGGATGTGCCCCGCCCTCCCTCTACCACGAACGTGGTCAAAGGGAAGTGGGTGTTTCGGGTGAAGCAGCTTCCTGGCGAGCCGCCGGTCTACAAGGCCCGCTACGTCGCCAAGGGCTTCACCCAGCGCTACGCTGTCGACTTCTTCGACGCCTTCTCTCCCACCGCCAAGCCCGCTACCATTCGCGCAGTCCTCGACCTCGCAGCTCGCCTCAACATGGAGATTCACTCCATGGACGTCTCCAACGCATTCCTCCAAGGGGTCTTGCGCGAGCTCATTTACATGGAGCGTCCTGCAGGCTTCCACCTCCCCTTTCCTTCCGACTCTGTCTGGCAGCTGTGTCGACCAATCTATGGGCTCAAGCAGGCACCAAGGGAGTGGCATGCCAAGCTTGCTGCCACCCTCGCCGAGCTTGGCTTCAGCACCTCCCGCGCCGACCCCAGCCTCTTCCTCCGCACCTCCCCCTCCCCCTTCTACATCCTCGTCTATGTCGACGATATGATCCTCATCACTGCCGACTCCGCCGAGCTCGAGCGCGTCAAGCGTGAGCTTGGCGGCCGGCTCAAGTGTAAGGATCTAGGGGAGCTGCAGCACTATCTCGGCATGGAGATTACCCGCGACCGTGCTGCTCGCACCATCTCCCTCTCCCAGGGCCACTACCTGCAGCAGGTCCTGGAGCGGTTCGACATGGCTCGAGGCACCCCTCAGGTCACCCCTCTTCCTGTTGGGCACCACTTCACTCCCCTCACCTCCCCCTCCTCCTCCTCCCACCCCTACGCTGAGCTCATCGGCTCTCTCATGTATGCCATGGTCTCCACCCGCCCTGACCTGGCATAACCCATCAGCGTTTTGGCCCGCTTCGTTGGTACCGGCAAGCATGATGCCGCCCACTGGCAAGCGGCAAAGCGTGTCCTCCGCTACCTTCGGGGGACCAAGGACTACGTCCTTACCCTTGGCGGCCCCTCCCCTCCCCTCCTCACTGGCTACTCTGATTCCTCCTGGGCTGACTCTAGGCCTGACCGCCACTCCTCTCAGGGCTATGGCTTCTCTCTTGGCAGTGGCCTCATCAGCTGGCGCTCCACCCGCTCCTCCTCCATTGCCCTCTCCTCTTGCGAAGCGGAGCTGTATGCCGCTACCATGGCTGCGCAGGAGGCCCGCTGGCTCTCCTTCCTTCTTGAGGAGCTTGGTGCCCCTCAGCGCTGTCCCACCATCTGGTGCGACAACGCCAGCACCATCCACCTCACGAAAGATGCCGTGTTCCACGGGCGCTCCAAGCACATTGAGCTTCGCCACTACTTCATTCGCGAGCTTGTGCAGGGTGGCCACCTCCAACTGGGCAAGATTGACTCTGCTGCCAATCCTGCCGACATCTTCACCAAAGCCCTCCCCCACGCAGCCCACTCATCCCTCCTTCGCCTTCTTGGACTCGCTCCCCCTGTTCCCTCGTCCACCTCCTGATTCAAGCCCTCTAGTCTTGTGCATGTTGGGGGGTTGTGTTGTAAAATATATATCTATACAACATGCATGCCTAGATTAGGAGGTGTAGTCATTATAAATATTGGGGGGTTGTTGGTTGGGTTGACCAACCCCACATTTGGGTTGGTCAAGATTGGATTTGGTCCTAGACATTTGGTTGGCACTATTCCAACCAAATGGTCCTTGGTCCTAGGAACCAACCAATCACCAAGCACCACACTTTGTGGTTGCTTGCCTTCCAAGCAATCTCTCTCATTAGTCCACATTGTGGCCAATCAGAGAGCACCACACTTTGTGGTTGCTTGCCCTACAAGCAACCTCTCCCATTGGTCCACTTTATGGCCAATAGGAGAGCTTCCTTTCCAACTCTTCCTTGCTCCTTGTTTTGTACAAAAGAGCCTCTTGGCTCCCTACTCAATCAATCTTTTCTCTTCCAAGCTATTTCCTTCAAATCCCTCGTCCCTCCCTACTCCCCTCCAGATCTCCCGACCCATGCCTCTCTGCGCTTCGCGTTGCAGCCAGTGGCACCTTCATTTCTCCATATTCACCTCCTTCCTCTGCGCCCCTTTGCTCTCCTCCCTCCAGATATCTCTAGGCGCCTCGCTCCGCTCCTCCACTGCAGCCACTGACCCCAACTGCGAACGCCTGTCTGCTCGCCTGGTGAGCAGGGAGGGAGAGTTACAGGGGCACCAGGGCACTGGGGCACAGGGGCACAGTGGCACAGGGGCGCAGGGGCGCAGGGGCACAGGGGCACAGGGTGCAGGGGCACAGGGGCACAGGGGCACAGGGGCACAGGGGCACAGGGGCACAGGGGCACAGGGGCACAGGGGCACAGGGGCACAGGGGCACAGGGGCACAGGGGCACAGGGGCACAGGGGCACAGGGGCACAGGGGGCACAGGGGCACAGGGGCACAGGGGCACAGGGGCACAGGGGCACAGGGGCACAGGGGCACAGGGGCACAGGGGCACAGGGGCACAGGGGCACAGGGGCACAGGGGCACAGGGGCACAGGGGCACAGGGGCACAGGGGCACAGGGGCACAGGGGCACAGGGGCACAGGGGCACAGGGGCACAGGGGCACAGGGGCACAGGGGCACAGGGGCACAGGGGCACAGGGGCACAGGGGCACAGGGGCACAGGGGCACAGGGGCACAGGGGCACAGGGGCACAGGGGCACAGGGGCACAAGGTCACTGGGGCGCAGGGGCACAGGGGGCACAGGGTGCAGGGGCACAGGGGCACAGGGGCACAGGGGCACAGGGGCACAGGGGCACAGGGGCACAGGGGCACAGGGGCACAAGGTCACTGGGGCGCAGGGGCACAGGGGGCACAGGGTGCAGGGGCACAGGGGCACAGGGGCACAGGGGCACAGGGGCACAGGGGCACAGGGGCACAGGGGCACAAGGTCACTGGGGCGCAGGGGCACAGGGGGCACAGGGTGCAGGGGCACAGGGGCACAGGGGCACAGGGGCACAGGGGCACAGGGGCACAGGGGCACAGGGGCACAGGGGCACAGGGGCACAGGGGCACAAGGTCACTGGGGCGCAGGGGCACAGGGGGCACAGGGTGCAGGGGCACAGGGTGCAGGGGCACAGGGGCACAGGGGCACAGGGGCGCAGGGGCGCAGGGGCACAGGGGAAGAGGGGCACAGCGGCACAGGGGCACCGGGGCACAAGGGCACAGGGGCACAAGGTCACTGGGGCGCAGGGGCACAAATGCACTGGGGCACAGGGGCGCAGGGGCACAGGGGCACAGGGGCGCAGGGGCGCAGGGGTGGGGTAGATGCCCGGTTAGAGAAATAGCCTTTTGTCGAGGTTATGCAGCCAGCCTCCTGCAGTTGCTCACCCATCAGCATCCCTCCTTCCATCGCTTCAGCCCGTCCCAGGCAGCACGCGCCTCTCTCTCAGCTTCCTCACGATGTGTTCGGGGCTTTAAAAGCATTCCACTCTTCATCCCTCGCTTCTAACACCTCTCGTCTCCCTTCCCTTGGCTCCCCCGACCAGGCCCCCATGCATCCAGCCAGTCCCTCGCAGGCAGCAAACAGCTGCATCCCTCAGCCAAGGGACTCACCTCTCTTCCCTTGGCCCCCAAACCAGGTCCCCATGGACGTGCCGAGTCCCTCCCAGGTAGCACGCGCATCTCTCAGCTTCCTCACTCCGCAGCGACCCACCCCCCAGCAACAGCCGCTACAGTCACCCTTTACACAGTCGCAACCTGTACAGTCACAGCTGGTGGTACCGTCACAGCTGCAGCAATCGCGGGAGAGCCTGGACGGCGCAGAGCTGTTGAGCAGCCTGCAGGAGTATGATGCGGGGTTCGAGGATCTTATGCAGCCAGATGCTGACGATGGCCACGCGGGTGGTGATGCCGATGGTCTTGGTGATGATGGCAACAGCAACCCTTTGTCTCTGCCTTCCACCAACCCTCTCTCGCTGCCTCCCCAAAGCACCCCTGCTCGCCCATCAGCCTCCACTGCTGTGTCCTCCTGGTCGCCTGTGCCCTGTGCCACTCCGGTGCTGGCGATAGAGGGAGGAGGAGGGAGAGGGCGTGAAGGGAGGGGAGCAGCAGGGCCGAGCACATGGGAGGCCATTTACCTCGACTACAAGGTGTGCATGCTGGGGTACAGTGGGGGATACAGTGGGGGATACAGTGGGGGGTGCAGTGGGGGATACAGTGGGGGATACAGTGGGGGGTGCAGTGGGGGATACAGTGGGGGATACAGTGGGGGGTGCAGTGGGGGATATCGGCCAGGGAGTCTGCAGCTGGGGGGTTAAGGAAGGAAGGTTGAGGCGTAGGAGGGCTGCGAGCAGAGAGTGGGAGATGCGCACTGTGCTGTTTGTTTGTTTTTTCTTTTCTCTCTCCGTGGTTTTGTGTCTGATTTCTCTCGCCGTGTCCTTCCATGTCTTTTCCTACCTCTTCCCTACCTTCCTCCGTGCCCTCACCATTGCTGCAGGCTCCCTGGCCGATATCCGTTGTTGTGCCGCCCGCATCTCTCCTCGCCTACAACCGCGTCTTCCGCTTTCTGCTCGCTGCCAAGCGAACCCACCTGCACCTCGGCCTCGCATGGTCGGCACTGCAGGTAGGGTGGCGCTGGCTTGGGTGCCACTGCACTGCGGGCAGGGTGGCCCTGGCTTGGGTGTTACTGCACTGCGGGCAGGGTGGCGCTGGCCTGGGTGCCACTGCACTGCGGGAAGGGTGGCGCTGGCCTGGGTGCCACTGCACTGCGGGCAGGGTGGCCCTGGCTTGGGTGTTACTGCACTGCGGGCAGGGTGGCGCTGGCCTGGGTGCCACTGCACTGCGGGAAGGGTGGCGCTGGCCTGGGTGCCACTGCACTGCACTGCTGCATGTGATAACAATGATGACAGTGCAGTAGTGACAACAGGGATAAACAATACCATTGTTCTTCCCCACAACATCCCCCTCTCCCCCCCTCACTCCACACTCTCTCTGTTGCTGTTAATCCTCTCTCTCTCTGCTGATCAGCTGTCACGGGGATTGAAGGTGGAGGGCCCACTGCTGCAGCGCATGCACTGGCTCAGGCACCGCATGGCATGTGCTGCCACTGCCATCCTCGACCATGTTGCACATGCGGTAGGTGTCTCCATGTCTTGTAACACGTCCTCTCGTGGCTCCATCTAATCACATGGCATGTGCTGCCACTGCCATCCTCGACCATGTTGCACATGCGGTAGGTGTCTCCATGTCTTGTAACACGTCCTCTCGTGGCTCCATCTAATCACATGGCATGTGCTGCCACTGCCATCCTCGACCATGTCACATATGCGGTATATACACCACCATTCAATTCCGCTGCTTGCAGCATGCATGTATGCATGAATCACCGTGCAATGAGTACCCCAGCGGCCGGCCAGCCTGTGTGCAACACACATTGCCTTTCTCCGATCTTGCCTGAAACAAGGACAGTTTCCTCATCTTGTTCCTCGGTGCTTTTTACCTCATACCATCCGTTCCCCTCTCTACTTGGTTTCTCACCCAAGTCTTTATCTCTGCCTTCACCTTAAATTCACTTTGGAGTCACTCAATCATTTCAATGTTATTTCATGTACAATGCCCGTTTTGTTTTTTGGGTTGCCATGATCCCCCCACCCTTCGCCCCCAAACCCCGTTTCCCAACACGACACCACCACAGGTGGTGAGCCCGAGCTTCGACCTGATGACGGCCAGACTGACTAAGGCAAACTCCTTCCATCAGGTCCCTCTCTTCTGCGCCACTCCTTTCCTCCCCTCACCATGATCCCTTGCACAACTCCAGCTCCTGCCGAAGATTTCTTTTTTTCTTTCTTTCTTTCCTTATTTTTGATTTAGATTGTTGAAAGTCGTATAAACTTCCAGCTCCATGGTTTTGCCGGCAGCACCATTCCGTCCCCTTCGCTCCATGGTATTTCCGACAAAAGAGGCGTTTGCCTGCCAACATGGGAACATGCGCCTGAAATTGATTCCTCTCTCCCATTCTGGCTTGCGCTGCTGCATCAGTAGTTCCCCATTCCATTTTGTCCTTTCGCCACCACTATTTCTCATTCCCTACTTCCCTTCATACAGCTTGTGTCGGAGCACCAATTGTTCGTTGACACGTGTCTCTCGGAGGGTCTTCTAGGTTCCTGCCCACACATTCAAGAAGTGAGTGGTGGGTGCTGGCTTAGTCCCCGGGCAGCCTCCTGACCACTTTCTAATCCCCTCTTTCTTCATTCAATCTCATACAGTACCTTATTCCTGCAAGGGGTTTCCACCGTTTGGCACTCTTTCATGACAGTGCACTCTTTGCGATGCACTCTTTGCGATGCACTCTATCCTGCCGCCCCCCTGCTCTGTGCATTCTTCATCCATGTTCTTCCCCTCTGCGTTGTGTTCCTGTGACCAGTGTTTTTATGGCCACACAGAGCCATTCTCTATTCTACGAAAAACATCCCCACCCACTCATTTCCGAGATGGCTTCGACCACGCCTCTTCCCCCTCCCCCCCCACCCCACCTGTCTCCTTCCATCGCATGCCACCCTTCTGCAGAAGCTGTCCTCCATCCTCTCCATATCCCTCCGCTTCGCCACCGCTGTCAGCACCACCATCCACAGAGTCACCTCTCTTGGTGCCACAGAAGCAGCAGCAGCAGCAGGGGGAGGAGGGGATTATGGAGTGGAGGATAGCATCAGTGGGAGCAAGCTCTCTGATTACGCGTATGGAGATGCCACGTCAGATGCCAAGGGACGGGCAGCCCGGGCGGCATTCCGTTGGCATTTAGCGGGGGAGGAGCTCCAGCTTGCTATGGAGGAGGGATTTGCCGAAGAGATAAGGTGTGGAGGGGATGGGTGTGGAGGGGATGGGTGTGGAGGGGATGGGTGTGGAGGGGAGTGATTGTGGAAGGCAGATGTATTGAGGGGATCGTGGGTTAAGGTAGTCGGAGGGTGAGGGCAGAGGGAGGGGACAGTAGTGAGACGGCTGAGAAGGGTAGCCGTGTTGTAAGGGGCAATAGTGAAAGGGTATGCCTATGCACATTCTTGTTGCATTTCTCTCTCGTTTCACAGACGTCCCTCTATCCCCAACTTCCTACTCCCTGCCACCCTCTATCCCCCTCCCTGCTCACACCAGGAGCATGCATGCTGCCTTCTCGTCCTCTCTCCGGGATGCCTCTGCTGCCATCACCTCAGTCCTTAGGGACCATCCGGTGCTGCTCTCCCTGCATCTCTCCCTCTCTGCTGTTGCCAAAGGTCTTCCGTGAGGTCTTGCTCTTTGTTGACATGGCATTGCAATCCGACCCGTGTTTGTAAGGCATGTTAGTTCGTCGTCAGAGCATCACCAACCTAACTGACGGCATTCCCTCATGCGAGCCTCTCTGGGCGGCGGGAAAAAAGGTCGGAAGACCATTAGCGTGTAGAAGGCTAATTAGGTTTTACCACAACCCACCCAGTCTTGATTTTCGCCATTTTGCTTGTTTGTGATCCAAATTGTCTTACTCTTTTAGCAAGCTCAAATTCTCTTCAGTCAATTCCCAGCTCGACTCTGATCTGAGCATCATGTTTGAGAATTAGAGTCTCTTGGTTGCAAGAATTGTTTCATGTAGGCTGCTTTTCAGCAGTTCGGGAGATGAGGAAGGTCAAACTTCGAGCGTATTCATGGGGTACGGGATCAGGATCAGCTCACTCTGATCCCGGGCTCTGATCTGATCCTACCGTTCTACAGCCTGGAGATCAGGCTTGATGGAGTCAGTCAGTCGCAAAGGGCTGCCAAGTGTTCTCGGCATGCGACTTAGTGCGATCCCATGTTCACTTTGCAACCAAGTTGTCGAGTGCAGGATGATTGCACACAAACATTTTGGTAACCCACGCACGTGCCCGACGCATTCCAGCGCGGCTGGACATGCAAAATCTCAGAGTAACGGATTGACTAGAATGAGAGAAACATGGTGGTTTTGTGCTGAGGAGTTGTACTCGCTAAGAGTACACACCTATCTAGCCTATAATAACATATACATATATGTTTGACACACCCCCTAGGCTAGATGAGGGGCAGTGCCTGGCAAGAGACATGCAGCTCTGGGTGGCACTACTAGTCCAGCCACTGGAACAAGAGCCACAAGGCCAGTCAAGATAATATTAGAAGTAGACAATCAGGGTCCTAGCAATTGAGAAGCTACAGGAACTAGACCAAGCTGTACTTAGTGCCGCTGATGATCTTTAGGCGCAGGCGCCTTAGTAAAGATATCAGCTGTGTTGGCACCGGAGGCCAAGTGTACTACGCGTGCTTGGCAGCGCTGCTGTAGCTCGCGCAGGAGGAAGTACCGCAGTTGGATGTGCTTCGCTCTGCCCTGTAGTCGAGGCTCCTGACACAGGAGGAGCATGGCCCTGTTGTCAACATAAAGGACCGGGGCAGAGCTAGACCGCTCACCTAAGTCTGTGAGCAAGAAAGTCAGCCAACGGAGCTCTTGTGCTCCCATGGCACCGGCGTAGATTTCAGCCTCACATCTAGACTGTGCAACAGACGACGAGCGGGTGGACCTCCACGAGATGGCACCTCCACCAAGGCTAAAGCAGTAGCCCTGAGAGGACCTGAGCGTCTCAGCGTCGTCTGCCCATGAAGCGTCTGTGTGACCTGTAAGGACCACTGGCCTGCGTCCTCCTAGCACTAACCCCATGCCCGATGTACTTGCTAGATATCTCAAAACCCTCTTAGCGGCCGACCAGTGCTGTGGTCGATGTCTGCTTGTGGCCATAAAGCGAACCAGGATGCTGAGAGGGTATGCGCGATCCGGACGAGTGCAAGTCATCAAGTACATGAGGCAACCCACCAGCTTTGCGTACGGACCACTAGGCTCTACTGACTTCTCAGGGACTGGAGCCGAGAGCCTGTGAACTACTGGCAGAGGTGTGGGCTGTGTAGAGGAGAACTAAAGACCGAACCTCTGAAGGACGTGGCGCACCAAGTGTGACTGTGTAAGAGTGATGGTGCGCGTTGCTGTGGCCCGGAAGATCTGCAGGCCAAGGTAGCGGTGCAGCTCTCCTAGGTCAGTGCAGGTGTGTCTCCTCAGCAGCTCAGCCTTCACGGAGGCTAGTACATTTCTATCCGTAGTAGCGAAGACCAGGTCGTCTACGTAGACAAGGATGTAGAACGGGGTCTGGCCTGAACGAACGAAGAGCGAAGGGTCTGGAGACGGTAGGAAGAACTGCAGGTCGCTAACATAGCACACAGCGTGTCGTGCCACTCGCAGGCCATAAACCGGACACCAGAGGAGCCACTCGGTCCTAGGGGCGAAGGTGCCAATGAAGCCTGGCGGGCGGCGCAGGTAGACATGATCGTGCAGATTGCCCTGGAGAAACGATGTAAAGAAGTCGAGGGAGTGCAGCTCTTGGTCACGCTGTGCTGCTACGTGTAGCAGCGTGCAAAGAGTGGTCCTCTTTGGGGTCAGGGCGAAGTCAACACCCTCGAGCTGATTGAAGCCTCTAGCAACGTAGCATGCCTTGAACACCAGCGGCTCTCCAGGAGGGCGCTTCACCATGAAGAGCCACCGGCCATCGACTACGTTCACCCAAAGTGGGGGAACTGCGCCGACGTAGGTGCCGGTGGATCTCCAAGTTTCCATCTCCGCATCCATGGCAGCTATCCACTGAGAGGCCCAGGGTCCCGAGGTCACCTCAGCGTAAGTGCGAAGGGTCGAGATGTCAAGGGCCTCTGGGTCACCCTCAGGGACTAGCAGCATGGAGCAGAGATGAGGAGCGGCCTCGGACAGGAAAGCAAGCTCGTACTGCATGTCCTCTAGGATGTCACTGCCAAGGGGAGGAGAACACACAACGAACGGAGGACCGGCACGGTCAGATACCAGAGCGGTGATGTAGTCAAGGCGGCGGGTAGAGGCAAAGTTCGCGATTGCAGCGACAAGAGCGTCAAGAGAGGATTCAGGAACGGACGGGTCAGTAACGAGGGAGGCAAGGATAGGAGGAACAAGAGGACTAGCGGTACGAAGGACGTGAGACAGAGGAGGCGGAGCAACAGCAAGCGACGACGGAGAAGGCGATGAGAGGAGGGGAGGACGTAAAGCGTGGGAACGAAGCCACATAGGGTGAGAACGCTAAACTTGAGAGACAGGACGAGCACGAGAGGCATGGTGAAACCACCAGCGGGAGGGGGGGGGGTTGGGTCAAGAGACAAGGGTGGAGAAACAGGAGGAGAACGAGGGGGGAAACAAGCCAAAGACAAGTATGGCGGAGGAAACACAGGGCTATAGACAGGCGGGGGAGGCGCAGGCGGGTGGTCAGGGGAGGGAAGACCAAGGAGGCAAAGGGCGGACACCGGCGGCGACTGCTGATGCCGCTGCTCCTGGCCAACCCTAGAACCTCCAGCTGCACCACGGCTACCTCTGGAATGCTCCACGCCAACACCCTCAGAACGAGACCCCGCTCCAGCACCGGTGCCACCCCCAGGACCGCTGGGACAAGCCACAACAGTACCCCCAGGACTAGCACCCGCAGAACCTGCACCCTCAAAACGAGGACCCTCTCCAGCACCGGTGCCACCCCCAGGATTGCCGGGACAAGCCACAAAGGTACCCCCAGGACTAGCACCCCCAGAGCCAGCACCCTCCTCAACGCCTACACCCCCAGAGCTCGCAGACCCGCGTGGCGGCGACGGCTGCTGCTGCGGCAGCGACGGCTGCTATAACGGCAATGGCGATGGCTGCCGCGGCGCTAACGGCGACTGTGGCTGCGGTGGCAGAGGAGGAGACACCGGGGCGGAGATAAGCGGCGAACCCGTAGCGGCAGGGCCCCTTGAGTTCGCCAACTCCTCCACTGTGACGATTGACGGGAGGGGAGTGACGTGAGACACACCAGATGGGGGAGGACTGGGAGGGAGAGGAGCGGGGGCTACCGGGGGAGTGGGGACCAAGGTCAGGGGTGGGGAAATTGGGAGACCTTAATAGAGGGGAAAGTGGGTGTAGAAGGAGACAGACTCGTCAAAAGTGACGTCGCGAGAGTGAAATAAACGGTGAGACAGCGGGTGATAAATGTGCCGGTTAGACGCGTCGAGAGGGAAGCCAAGGAAGACACAAGGGACGGTGCGGGCAGTGAGCTTGTCTGTACCAGAGGAACGAACGTGAGCGAGGCAACCCCATACGTGGAACACAGACGCGTCACCAGGGGACCCGGTCCAGAGAAGGGTCGGCGAAAGCTGCGGCCACACTATTCGCAAAACAAGAAGATGGATGCACCAGAGTCTAGCGTGAAAGAGAGCGCGGCGGTAGCGTTCGTAGGCGGTGGAGCTAGAGTGGAGCCGGGGCTAAACAAGGCAGGTGGTCCTACGCCTGATGGAGCAGGAGAACCTAGGCTACACACAGTGGACACACCTACACTAGGCAACACAGAGTAATAGGGGCCAGTCACACTAGAGGAATGTGCATACGTGACGTACATAGCATACCTAATTTGATCCATATCCAGCTCAAAGACAAGCACGCGATGACGCACCTGGCTGTACCAGTCAAGGGAGTCCGACGTGGGGCCGAAACGTAGACGGAAGAGGTCGTTGAGGCGGCGGTAGCAGTGGGCAACGATGAGACCGGGACGGTCGCAGACAGTGCCGCAGCGGGGGCCGGACTGAAGCAGGTACTGGCAGGTTACCACATAGGAGCCTCTACCGGACACCGAGCTACGCGGCCCACCACCACGCACCTCACCACCAGCGCTGCCAGGCCACCATGGCGGCGGGGGTCCCCACTACTGCTGCTGCTGCTGCTAAGGCTGTGGCTGCTGCTGCTGCTGCTGCTCCTGCACTAGAGTGTCAGCCACGGTCCCCTCGTCAACACCACTATCCTCGCCACCACCTCCGCCACCTCTGCCACCCTCACCACCCCCACCACCCCCACCACCCCTTGGGGTAGCGGCCCTTACTCTGACGCGACTGCGCTGAGGCCGCGGCGGCGGTCTTTGCAGCAGGGGCTGTCTCGGCGACATCGGCAGAAACATCAGAGTAAGTGCACTGGGAGGGAGCACAGACTTGGAAGATAGGGACAGCCGCAGTACCGCTAGACTGAGCGATAGTGCGCTGGCGGGTCTCTATCGCAGATAGGGCGGTGACAAAGGCGGTAAGGGTGAGGTCACCTGTGTGCTGACTTAGGAAGTGGTCGCGGGCAGTGGCAAGGTGGTCAGGAAGGCGCGTGGCAATGAGGTAAAGGGTAGCACAAAGTGACGGCGGGAATGCAGTAAGCTGTGCCTCCGTGCTAGCGGCACGGTAGCTAGTCTCAAGTGTGTAGAGATGAGTGGCAAGGTCATCAAATTTGGGGAAGGAAGCAAGATCAAGGAATAGCATGGGGAGGATCAGGCGACCGGTAGAGACGGAGGAGGGAGTGGAATAGCGCGCAATTACCGCATCTAATTATACCTTCACATTTGCTATAGCGGTAAAGCGGGGATGCTCAGACAGGGGGAGGGCGTGACTAATAGCAAGTTGTGCTACTGTGTCGCGCGACTCCCATATAGCGCGGACAAGCTCA